AAATGCCCCCTGCATACGTCCCGAATGAAACAAGAAAGAATTGAGCCATTTTCAACAGTTTTAGAGGGACCTTTGCATCGCTACAGGTCAGTTTTGTTTTTTTTTACAATTTTTCTTGGTCTTAGCAAACCCCTTAGTTTGTTCTCATCTTAATTTTGTTTTATTTTATTTTAATTACAGGTTTCATTACAGATTTCTAAAATCTATAATTTTAAAAATTAAATTGTTAATCTTTAAGCTTGCAGGCCCAGCCCGTATGTTTTTGTATTTTTAGGACTAATAGCTCATCGCTATTTATTTTCGTTTTTATTTTTATTTTAATTTTGTTTTTAGTCTAGATTTAGGAAGTTTAGGTATTGTTTAACATATTTTAACACCTTAATGTGTCATTCTGTGCGGACGCGTCGGGAAATTGTAACAGAGAATTGAGACTATTAAAATTTCCAAGACACTTTGTCTAATTTTTAAAAAAATTTTTAGCGAAAAAGTTTCAATTGTCTGTTTCGACGAAACGCGTAATGGGGTTAGCTTGATTCGACTTCAAATAAATGAAATTTCCCTTGAAAAGCCCGTTTGGAAGTCGAATTGGCTAATTTACCAGTTTCCGCTTACTTTTTATCTGTTTTCTGTTTTTTTTTTAATGTTTTACATGTCTAATGTTTTGATTTCATATGTATTAATGTTTTTAAAATGTTGAACATTTTGGAGCAGCAGCTCTTGGTAACTTTTAGGCGCGCTTACTACAATTTTTATATTTTATATATATGTATATTTTCGCGATTACAATACTTCCTTTTTACTTCGTACAAGGAAGTAAAAACACAAGAATAAGGATATATAACAAATTAACAGATATACTATAAACAAATTTACCAGTATTTTAAGCAGTTTAATGCAAATTTACCTACATTTTTAAGCAGCCTATATAACAATTAATAGATTAAAAATTTTACCTGCATTTTAAGCAGTTTAATTTGAAGGGTAAGTTCGTTTAATTTTGTAAATTTAATTAGCATTCAAAATAAGAATACATTTCAAAATAAACATTGTTATTCCTTAAATTACTGCTGAAATTTCAACAAAAGTCAGTGAGGAGAAACAGGATTAATAGTCGTGCATATAATTTATTTTTGTTATTTAGAAGATTGTTTTTAGTTTTTTTTAGAATCTGAAATATATAAATAAATTAACGATATTTATTTATATAATATAAATTTATTTATATAAATAAATATCGTTAATTTATTTATTTCAGATTATGTGCAGGTCAATTACGTATTGTAACGCATCCAAATCTAAATATTGTGATATTTATTTGCTATTACTGCTGTTATCCCACTCTTTTCGCGTAGAAATATAAAATGGAGAAAATTTATCTTTGTCTCAATTTTTCCATCGCTAAACAGTAAACAAACTTAATCTTCTTCCCCCCCCCAAGATAAGCCCGATTAATCCCCAACCCGGTTAATTCTCCGTCGGTTAATGGAGAGTTTATATATTTCTTTGGTTAAAATACTCATAGCATGGAGTAAAAATATTTATAGCGTATTGGATAGTTTCGCTACCCTGAGCACAAAAAAGAAAGTAGCAATTGAAAAGATGTAAGGATACATAAAAATTTGAAATGAAGCTGCGCTGACAAATTTTTACTTAAATTTACTTTAAAAAACTATTAACCCAAGGGGCGTTAGCCCAAAAGGGCTATTACTTTCGTTGTGGCGTTTTGCGTCCATTCACTTTCTGCGTTGATTCACTTTTCAAACTGCTGCCACCAACTATTACAGTCCTGTATTATATTTAAAGAAATTAAATAATGAAGCATCTACATAAATGTATGTATGTTTCTCCCATTGTGATAAAACAACGGTACGTAGATCCATCAAATTTTGAATAACGTAATTCTCCAGCGAATATGGGCATCTGGAACCCCTAATTTGGAATTTGCTCAACGATTTCAAAGCAAGGAATGACAACACTGTACGAAAAAAAAAAAAAAAAAAAAAAAAAATTATCTCTAGCGTGCCAGACTGTGTATCGGATATTCGAAAGATATGCTCATTTTAGAATTATTTTGCGATATTGCTGTTAAACTGAATTTTATGGCTAAGTGAGAAGAACATGACATTTCTTAAATAAAAATAATGCACACAAAACTTAAGGAGGAAAAAAAAAAAAAAAAAAAAAAAAAAAACGCGCGCCTTTGGGCGTGATGTAAAATCTGAAAGCCTTTAGATTTTTTTAAATATATATTTTATTAATTAAAAACAAAAATTTGTTAACAAAAATTTGTCAGCGCAGCTTCATTTCAAATTAAATTTATCTTGAATTTAGGAAGAGGAAAGATTTAAAAAAATCAAGGAATCTTGCCCTACTTCTCCTAAAAACTCAATATTATTTTCGCTAACAAGTAATCGAAATCGAATATTCTTAATAAAATTTCATTAAATATTCTTCAATTATTCAACTCAAAACTGCTGGAAAATATTTTAAGAAGCTGAGATAATTAAATGTCCCTAGACTGCTTTTGAGTCTCTAGATTACTTCATGCCTTTTAATCTTTTAGGTTTTTGTTGCAGGCTGATTCTCGAAAAAAAGAAAAGGCTTCACAAAGAAGAAAGAAGATTTACTTGGAAGAAGCATGGAGAGTAATACAGAATAAAAATGAGTCTGTTTATTTCTAGAAAGGAAGATTTTATCTACATTCCCACAGTAATTTAATGATGAACATTTAAGGTTACCCCTAAACCCGATAACGTACATGTTATCCCATAAATGGAATTTATATTTATTAATTACTTATTAAATCATGAATAAATACAAATTATTAACTTTATTTATATTTTAAAATAAAATCATGCATTTAAATAAAAAGTGGAAATAATTCGCTATATTTTCTGAAAAAATAGATAAGAGAATAAATTTGACTTTTTCTCTAAAAGTTTTATATTTTATCGCTTTTGAGTACTTGGAAGTATTTATATTTTTTCCCGATGTAGTTAGGTTTAAAAATTTTAAATTCATTTGATTCTGCCATTTTTAAAAAGACCATTTTAAATATAGGATATTATATTTTCTATCTTTAGTTTCTGAAGGATTAATTCTTTAAGTAATAGACTTGCTTATTTTGAAATTGTTTCAGACGTTAAACTGAAATGTGCATACCAAGATCAGTTTGCAACTTACCTTTATTCTAATGACTTTTGTATTTTTAAATATGTGTTTCTTTTAAACTTTATGAAAAATGTATGTAAACTTTTCACGGTTCCAATCAGTTCACAGTTTTCCTTTGCAGTAGGTTCTTTAAAAGGAAAGAGTAAAAGCAAAACATCGCCCCCGGGTGGGTTCGAACCACCAAGCCGAACGCGCTAGCCGATTGCGCCACGGAGGATACGCGAAGGTGTTTCTCGAAATAAAGTAGTTTCGTTCAGATCTTGTCTAACACGCACTACATGTTTATTATTTATTTTTCATGAAAAGTCGCTTAATAAAAGCGTTTGCCAGTATATGCGTATAATAATTTCTGTTTTATGTTCCTAAGCACAACGGAGCTTTGCTTATCAGTGAAAGGAACAAAATTCCTCTTTATTACAATATATACTCGTATATTTTTTTCAATAGGGTTACTGAGAGAATATTAAACATTTAAACACTTTCTAACTAAGCAAAATTATTAAAAGAATAAGTGCATATTCTTCGATTCATGTTTTTTCGGCAGCTATTTCTACATTGCATTTAAGTAATAAAATAGTCTTAAATATTGATGCAATATAATATGTTACGTCTCTTTCCCCTAAGCCACACTGGTGGTTGTGCTATCATCAGAACTATGATTTAATTTTAAATATTTCGAACGATTTTAGATAATACAATGCACATGAGAACTTTTTGCGTAAAGGAAAGGATGCATTCGCGGACGACATATTTCCATTCCATTTACTGCTGTTATACTGGGCCTAGTCTGCGTCTCGTTGAGCAAAGCTCAATTAATCCGGGCTCCTGGGTCTGGGCTCCTATCCCAATGTAATTTGAGAGGAATTATCCTCGGGTCTTTATAACAGTAGGCAGACGAAGGGTGTAAATAACCTTTTTATTCGTTCACAAAGAATTGGCAGTTGACACCATTTGGGTTTACATAAGTCAGCACTTCTGACTTAACTTAAATAAGTCATGTTTAATTTAAAAGAAAATTTGATTAGACTAACGGCTCACAGGATAAAGTAAACGCGCAGAAAGGCTCTAGGTCGTAGAAGCCAGCGCAAAAAGCTTAATGGCTGGAAGCTCTGAACGCCACAAAAATCAAATCGCCATTAAGTCGCGGTAACAGCGTGGACTCAAGTATGCGAAACACGCTCTAAAATGAACTTCGTTTAAGTTGCATTTCTTTTTCCCTTAATCTGAATAAACCGTTTAAAATTTTATAGCGTTAAAATTTTATAAAATTCCGTTTAAAATTTTATAGCAGTACTTATTATATACGGGACGCCGTCAAATATTTAACAATAGAGCTCAATATTGAAGAAATAATTGTATTTCAATGAATATAAAATGTACAATAAGTTTCAAAATAAGCATATTTATAATATTTTCTACGTAAGGTGATTTAATAAATGTTGGCTAATTTTTTGGACAAATTAGTGTCCGAAAATTTTTCAAATAGTGTGAAAAGAGTAATAACATCTGGCTGCCGTTATACAATTTAGCAATAAACAAGCTTTAAATAAAGTATCAAAAAAGGTCTTAATTAGGTTAAACGTTTCAGTATGAAGAGATGAAAGTTTTCATAGTTAAAATCTGATTTACACTTAGACCTCGAAAAATTTTTTGAGTACTTTAATCAAAAAAGAAACATTAAAATCAAGCAGTGCATCATAAACAGCATCAGATGTTCGGCTGCTGCCAGTTTGATAAGCTTTTGAGCATTGCCAAGGCAACCCAATCTCGTAGCACGTTATCTGGCTGCAAGACCTCTCTCAGGCATTTTTCACCACCAGACCCATTGTGGAATTCATTCAGGAGAGCGGCAAAGTACTGCGCAAAATGCAATAGAAATCCAGCATAAAATATATCCGTATCTAGATAACTAACATTCAGTGTTGCCTACGTGTTGCGCAATATAACTTTCTGTGACAACAGACCTGGTATCAAATAATCCGAAGCGCAGTTAAACATTCTTTGAATATAATTGCGCGGAGCGTTTAGCTTTCATCTGTGTGTATTGGTTCCTAATCTGAATAGAAAACGAAAATGAACAAGGAATTTGAAATGACATGGATTATTGAAAATTTCAACATGTGTCATCATTCAACGGGATTCAGTCTTCGAAGCCCGACTTTCGTGTTGAGTGCTTTGCCCGGAATGATGTGGTGCCTAGATTTATATCCTCGGGGTGAAAAGAGTAAAGAGTACATAGATGTACTGATTATGAGATGTGATGATCTTCCTCAAAAATGTGAAATAGAATACTCACTTTGCACCATGGATAAAGATGAAAACCCTATACAAAAACAAAAAAAAGAGAAGCATACATTTGAAGCCGGAAAAGGGTGGGGATGTAGTAGCTTTTTCGAAAGAAAACGATATCTTAACGACAAAGACAATCTTGTTATAAACTGTGATTTACGTGTTCTTCAAGTGCGTGATGATAATGACCAAAAGCACTTACGGTATGATTTTATGCGTTTTCATTTAAATGAGTTATTCACAGATATAACTTTACGTACCAGTGATACAACTTTCAAAGTGCATAAATGTCTTTTGAGTATACGATGGCCAGCACTGGTTGAAAAACTAGATAAAACGAAAGTTGGCGAAGAGTTTTTTGATGTCGAAACATCTGTATTAGAAGCAATAATAATTTACATTTATTCTGGGCTTCTAATCTGCAATAATTCTCAATTAATCTCCGAAGTATTTGCAGCTGCTGTAAAGTATGAGCTCTCAAATCTCAGATGTAATGTGTGCTTACCTGTTGTGAATTTCAAAGCTCGGACACGCATCAATGCAGAAGAAACGCACTTTATTTGGAAAATTCCCAGCTTAATCACGATGTCCAATAATGCATCCATACACAGTGATGTTTTTTCAGTAGATTTACTGGAGTTTCATGGCTGGAAATTAAGTTTTCACTTGCTATCACGTTCATCTGAAAGTGCATCTTTCGATATTTTCCTTTGTAAAGTGTATGGTGACAATCTGAAGCCTATTTTTGTAAAAAGTAGAATATTGTGCAGTTCATATTTCGACATTCAGAGTGAACATCTGTTTCATGCAGATGTAGAATGGAAATGTGCTGATGCGTGTGATGACTTCGATGACGATCTACTTCTTGACTGTCACTTCACTTTTACAGATGTGGGTGAGATTTCGGAGATTACAAGAAGGAGTTTTTTTAGAATATCGTCCAGCTCTGAATCTAACCAGTCTTTCGAAACTTATCATCAGTGTGTCGATTATGTCAGTGATGATCTTCGCACACTTTATAACACGGGAAAGCTGTCAGATGTTCAATTTGTGGCTGGTTCCGAAATATTTTGTGTTCACAAAGTTGTTCTCTCTGCAAGATCACAGGTTTTCTCCAGAATGTTCGAAAACGAAATGGTTGAAACCAAAAGCAACACAATTAACATTCAAGACATTGAACCTGCAGTTCTAAAAACAATGCTTTATTATATGTATACCGCAGACTTGGATCAACCGCTGAAGGAATGTGCTTTTTCTTTGTATGAAGCGGCGGATAAATACGGTATTTATATTTTAAGGGCAAAATGTGCTTCGTTTTTAAAATCAAATCTTACTGTAAAAAATGTGTGTAAAGTTTTATTGTTGGCAGACATGCATGACGATAAAAAATTGTGCAAGAAGGTGCAGGATTTTATAGCTGCTCATGCGGTGGAGGTTTTCGCTACAGATGAATGGCCAAATTTTGTGAATATGAGACCTAAAACAGCAGCAAAAGTTTTGCAGCAAAGTGTTGTTGTGCTATGTAATGATTCTAAAAAGAAATCGAAGAAATAGTCCCGTAAAATCAAGCAATTAATTTTATGTTCATACATTTCACTTTGACATCTTCCCTTACATTTTGATTCAGCTTTAATTTACAAAGGAGAGAGTGATAGTATTTTTTTTTAAATAAATTGAGTATTGAATCGAATCCACTCAAGGTAAATGGTCAGTCTTATTATTATTATTATTTTATTATTAGTTAGTATCATAAAAACAAGTGTACGCCTAATGTGTTTGCTTTCCAGCAGCCTTTTATATTTTTAATTAGTAAAATCCAATTTAGAGTCTAATTGTATCGTTTTTTACGTACAATTTGCGTATTTTGTTTAAATCTTGACTAACGAACAATCTATTCGTAGCCTTTTAATAATTACTGATAGTTTTTCGTTTGGAGTAATCAAATGAAAAACATTTATTCTGTAAATTTCAAATGCATGTATTTGAAATTTACAGAGTCCAAAACATGACAGTTTTAAAAAATCGATTCCGTATATTTTATTGTAATTTAAAATAAAATCTAGTGGATTGTTTGTCAGATTCCTATATTTCTTTATTATGTGTATTCATTTATATGTATGTTCATTTATATACATTTCGCAAACACTGGAACAATATGTAGTGTAAAATTCGATTTTGCCACGTTATCAATTCTATTTTATTATTTGCATAATTTTAAATCCTTAATTTAGCAGATTGTTTATTGGAATCCTACATTTTTTAATTTTGTGTATTTAACGTTTTGGCAAAGTATTAAAAGTGCTTATAATGCTGTGAATAAATTCTGCTTATTGTATCTAAATGTTTGTAATTAACTGTGTAATATTTCAGCTGAACTGCATATGATTTGTAAGTTGACTGCGTTCTTAATAAAATACGGTCGCCCATGAGCATATTTGGAGTTGCTGTGCTATATAGTTCAGGCATACATTCTTCCCAACACTAGGCCAATATGTAGCCATAGAAATATATTTTATTACGTTAACCGTTATATTCAACTAATTTGCGTAACTCATCTTCTGGAGTTATTTCTCAAATCGTTTTGCTTGGACTTGAATAGAAGAATTTTGTGATTTATCTTGACAAAACAATAGTATAATATATATTTTTTTTTTGCATTCTTTTCACATGAAACACATATTAGTTATGTTTATGACCCCCAAAATATATTTTTGAGTGCATATGTGTGGCAAAACTTTTAGGGCGAATGCATGTTCTCATGTAATAAAAGTTCCTCGTGATTCAAATTGCACTTAGAGTTTGGAATTACAGATTGGCATATTAATTACATATAATTACAATGATTTATTTTTTATAACGTACACTCATTTTTTTTAAAGAAGGGTCATGAAAAATGCATATATGTAATCGAAAGTATAGCTAAAGTATTATCAAAAGTAAGAAAAATCTGAAATATCATTTTAGATTTTTCTTATGTGAGACAAAGAGGAAGGGAAAGAATGGGAAAAAATGAATAAATAGGATAAACGAATGGGAGAAGAGTAATATGCATATGAATAACTCAGAGAGAGCTCCGTTTATTAAATTAACATTACTGACTGCGGTATATTGTCGTACTATTATTAGCATTTTACCACCAAAAACATGAAAGAGCTTTTCTAACGCCTTATGATTACATACCCTAGTGAAACATGGTACTTTTAATATCTATTTTGTAATTCAAGGCAAAATAGCTTACAATGGATAATAATTATGGTTTATATATATATATATAATAATGGTAGAATACATATTCTACCTTTTACTCTAAACACTTAACTCATGGAACTTCGCTTCTATTGTTTTAAATTCAAATTGCGTGTTTCATGTCTCAAAAGTGTGACTTAGGATGTATATTAGATTTATATATAGCTTGTCCTAATATAAATATTTTGACGCAAAATAGGACTTTTTCTGAAATGACATGCCAGTTGTTTTTCCACATCTCGATTCTATGTCTCAAATTATGTCTAAATATTAAATTTTGTAAAATTTGGTGAGAAATTTATAGAGACATTCAAAATTTATTTTGGCGCATTTTTTTTTTACTTTGCGCCAAGAAAAGTTGCCATTTTCACATTGCGCATGAGCGGAAAAAAAGGCGCATCGTTTCTACTTTAAAAAATTTTAACAAAGTGCCTAAACCACATTTGATGTTATTATTGCTTTCAACAAATATATTAAATTTCAAAACGGGCCAATATTTGAATTTACGTATATCTCCGGAAATTTTGAATAAAAATCTCTAATTTTTTGCTGGTATGCTTAGAAATATATCTACTTTAAGATGATGTAAAAACTTTATAGGTTGTAATTCCAAATTGTTTTCGAAAAATTTATAAAAATTATTTAAAAATGCAAATTTAAAAAATAAATCATAAAATTAGGCGAATTTTTTGGAATGAACCTAAATTTCAAAATATGAAAGGAAGAATCAAAAATAACTTTAATAAAAAAAGATATTCATAAATATATATCAAATTCAATTAACATTGAGGAGCTAAAATTTTGAGAGCTATTTTTAAAAGCTTCTCGTGCGATTTTCACAAAACTTGGCAGTTTGGCATATCTCAGTCGTAGAATTGAAATATGGAAAACATTTGGCATGCCATTTAAGAAACAGTCCGATTTTGTGTTAAAATATCTACATTAGGACATCACTATCAATGAATCTATACATATCCTAAGTCGTGCTTTCGAGACATGAAAAACGCAAGTTGAATTTCGTCAATCGGCCCAGTAGAACGGGAGAGATAGCTCCGTATTTTTTTTTCGCAGTGTACATTGGTGTTACCGTGTGCTGAGGATGTGTTACAAATGTTGTATTACGAATATGCATCTTTTTAGCTTGCGTTTTGGAAAAGGAAACGGTAGATCGAATCCTAAATTGCTACTAATCATATTCCTGAAAGATTTTCGAATCTCAGATCTTTGAACAGATTCAAATAACTAGGTAAAAAAATTTATCAAGACTTCCCCAGTATTTTACCTTCTCTATCTTATAGTGTAATTTAGTTGTTACTTTCTATCTAATGCTCGACGAAATCTGTTACCGATTTGTGTTCTGTTTGTGAAAAAAACGAATTTTATAAAGATTATTTCAGAAGTTTTTTACTTTCTATTTTTAATTAATAGTTACACTGTAATTAAAACCTTGTGTTTTTTGTTAAGCAATTGTAATGTTTACTTGCCGCACTCAAATCATGCCATTTTCTGTACAGCCACCAATATCTTCATTTACAACTGTTTAAATACTTTAAAAACGGTTTCTAACAAATTACAGACTTTACCGTTGCGTAGATTTTTTTAATCTCCTGTAAACGTACTAAAATAAGTACCTGATGGCAACTAAACCAAAATATAAAACCAGTCAGAAACAAACTAATTTTTATAAAAATTTTCACAATTTTTTTCCATTATTCCAAACAGAACATTTTATTATTATATTTAATAATTTCTACATAGATGCATAATATTTTAATTTTCCTTTCTAAAATTATAAATCTGGAAATTGATTAAATGACTTAGAATAAAATGGAAATTTCAGAAGCAAAATGTTTTTGCTCCTGAAGAGGAGTCTGATGTGTGTCTAATTAAATTCTAATGAGGACAGCTTTTTTCCCTAACGAAAATCTGAGTTCCGTGTACGAGATTGGATTAAGTGTGTAAGCCAAGGTACACTCTGTAACATTTTTTACATTTTTCAAGAAACTAATATTTTAATTAATGTCTCTTTAGCCCAAAAGGGACGTTAGTCCGAATGAGATACGGTAGTCTATGTCGAAACTCTTTGTCGTTGTCAGATTACACCGGCACAAGAAGAGTACATGCCGTCGCAAAAGACAGGCAAATACCGCTAAAGCGTAATTGAAATATGTGATAGATTTTCACTACAATGGGACGAATCTACGGATAAAAAAAAGCACTCGCAGTTAGAGTTACGGTGAGAATGGTATTTACTAATATCACTGTAAACAAGATATACTGAAAATATTACTCATGAAAGAACGAACAGTTAAAGATATCTACAATATATTTTTAGCATAAGCAAAGTCGGTAGATACAACTCTGGAAGCTTTCGGCGATGATTGGCAATATTAATATATTTATTGTCCTCTGCGAAGAACATAAATACTTTTCAAGCTTTATGTTGCATTAATGTATGATACACCATGGAGTTTTGCATTGTAGAATACTACCCTTCGGGCACGTCAGTAGTATTGGCCCCACTGCGACGGCGGAAGTGACGTCATGAAAAGAGGCGTGGCCAGTATCCAGAGGGGCCTGGAACCGGAAGTGAAGACACCAGCACTCAAATTCTATTTTTAACTTTCGCAAATTGACGTTTACTTCCACAAAAGTGACTTTACATTTTCCTTTTACTTTTTATTTTGCAAAAGTTTTTTTTTTTTTTTCAAATTTATTCCTTTTCGTATTTTTACTTTACTTTTTTATATTTAACTTTCTTTTTTTGGTTTTACAAAAGTAATATTTGTTTTTTCCGAATTTATTTTTTTCCTTTTCACTTTTTTATTTTGCAAATTTTTTTTTTTTTTTTTAAATTCTTTTTTTGTATTTTTACTTTACTTTATTTTATTTTATTTTTTTTTTTTTATTTTTTTTTTTTTTTTGTTTTTTGTTTTACAAAAGTAATATTTATTTTTACAAATTTAATTTTTCCTTTCCCCTTTTTATTTTAAAAAAAGGTGTTACTACATTTTTAACATTATTTTTTTACAAAAGTAATATTTAGTTTCATAAGTTTAATTTTTTTTTTGAGTTTTTTGTTTACACAAATGCAGATTTTTGTTTTTTCCCTTATGCATTTTACTTCCAAAAGTAAATTTTATTTTTTCCCCTTTCCTTTAAATTTTTTTTGTTACATTTTTATTTTACCCTTAAATTTCCCCCTTGTTTTAAATACAATATCATGTTACAATTCCATTTCTCCAACAGTAAACTTACCTACATTTCTCCGTCTTTGAAATTTTAAGCTGGAATTTACATGCATATAACTTCACTAGTTAATATTTTCTGTAACTTTAAACCAATATACACAATGCTCATTCTATATAGTTTAACTGGAATACTACATTTCTTACTTTTTTACTACTAAGTTGGAGATACTCAGAACCTTTCCTTCTAATGTATTGTACTAACTATTAATGACTGTATTAACGTTTTGGCCACCTATACAAAACTTTGTTGATTCCCTTTCACACGTCTTACTTTTATTCAAAGGATTCACCAAACTATATCTGACAAATGTAATTTTTACACTTTCCATTTACACATTTACCCTTATATATAACTTCTAAAACAAATTCATACTGTATTTCTGATTCCTTTTCCCCAAAAAAATTAAATATAGACTTATACAAATTTCTTTATTGTAAGACCTACTGACTTTAAACAAATCTTAAAAGGAGCAATAAATTTTCATAGTATGAACTCCACTCAGACCAATGCATGGAGCATTTCTACTCAGTTAAGTTTAAATACGTACCAATAGTACTTCATTTCTTCTTATTTTACTCTACAAACATTTATACGTATATATTCAGAACACTCCCTTTTATTCAGGGCCCACCAGCGGCCGAGCGGTAAAATCGCTGAACACTGGTAGTTCGGTCCGAGGTTCGAATCCCGCGAACGGGCTGGCTGCATGGGTGTTTTCGTGGTTTTCCCCATGTGTAACGTATATACGAGCCAGTTTCCCTTAGAAAGTCCTCCACGAAGGCATCCCTCCTCTTAGGCAGATAGCCCTAGTGTGCTTTGCCATAATTAAATATACCACCACACCACACCCTTTTATTCAGTAAGATTCATTTATACTACTGACACAAATTTTGCTAACTCTTTGAAATATTTTACAAAAATATCTTGTATTTTC